ATATTAATGTTAATTTGTGTGTGTGTGTGCGTATATATATATATATATATATACACACATATACATACACACACTAGACTTGTATCAGAATTTCCTGCAATTGTGACTTCATTTCATTTTTTTTCATAATTACGAGACATAAACTCAGAATTGCACAATATAAACACTCAATTCCGAGAAGAAAAATCTGAATTCTACGATTTACACTCGCAGTTGTAAGAATTCAGTGGGAGACAAACTCAGAATTCCAAGAAAAAAACTCAGAATTCCAAGATGGAAACTCTCCACTGGAAAATATCTACAATTCTGTTTTCTGCAAGAAAATTTTTGCAAGAATAGTGAAATAAGACGTCACAATTACATTTTTATTTTTCTGTGGTGAAAACAAGCTTCCATAATGAACAAACAGAAATTAGTACATTTATGAATTAACATGAATCTAGATTAACATGTTTTAAATATAGTTTTTCTTTGTTAGTTCCCTAATACCTAATGCATCAACTAATGAAAACAAATTGAACCTGACTGTGTTACCAGCATTTGATTAATAACAATAGTGTAAAATAATTTACACTAAATAAGTCTCAGTTATAAACGGACATTCAGTAATACCATTTAAAATATGAATTCATAGCGAGTGTGACCTGAATTATAAAAATGCCAACTATGAGTCCTATCAGCCTGAATAATTGGCAGATGGGAAGCTTCAGGCAAAATAAAAAATGGATAGTTTTGAAAGTGAAATTTAGATAAGTACTGCAAACATTCAATCACTCAATGCTTCCTTACCCCAACTGAGCTGTATAATTATACCCTCACACACATACAGTATACACACACATCAGCACAACGCATTTAATGGCCTCCAGCCATTCCACTTAAAATTCAGTTGCTCGCCCTGCAAAAACGATCATAGTCATTAATGTTCAGAGGTGATTAATCGCCTCCTGAAGATAAGCCTCTTTATGCAACACTATTTCACCCAGTCAGGATATTCAGATAACCCTTAGATTTATACTTACCCACACAGACTGGAAAACCATCCCAGTATCCCAACATTCAAAAGGTTTCTATTGCTGGATCACTAAAGGCTTTGTTAATCACTGCACTGAGGCTTTTTATGAGTGCATTATGAACAAAGGATCATACAATGTGAATCCCTACATACACACACGCACACACTTCAACCAAGACAAAACCTAATAAAAAATGACTACTAATATTTAGAGTCGCAAATCATGCTGTTAGCATAGAAATTGCCTCTTTGATGGATGAAATTAATCATTGATTGAAGCCGTCCCACAGATTCATCTTTTCAAAAGCTCCATGGGGAGATTATTATGTCTTTTCTCCAAGCACAAACCCAGTTTTCAACCGTTCTGTAGCCGCTGGTGGCATAATGCTAATAACCAGCACAATAAATGACTGTCACATCTGCTCAATAGCCTAAAAGTGCTTCCCGTTCATTTGACAAATGCACAACATAATACCACACTCTACAAAAGTGCACCTGAATGGTCAGCGATAGAGCATGTAAACACATGCTTAAACACATATTTAATTATATTCCTTCTAACATGCTAATGAACTCCATTGAACTTCTCAGCTACGCATGACTGCAGGTGAGCATCAGGGAGCGTGCGCTTAAAAACCATTAGCAGGAATATATCAGTGCAGCATGAACGGACACAAATTTCAATTCTCGTTGCTGTTCGTTGTGTTAAAACAGAAGGATTGGCAGGCGTCCATATCTTCTAATGTGTTTCAGAAATCAAATGAACTGCTCAGATTGAGGACGCACTTCCCTTGCCATTGTCTCTCACTATCTCGGTCTCTCTCCCACTTCCCCTGAATTTAATCTTGTTCTGTTTCATTGTGATTGGATTGGACGTCGGCCCATCTCTGGTTTCATGTTCCACTGGAAATTACAGTTTGTTAGATAGCGCATCGCTATCCTAACTAGATCTTCTTTTAGCTTCTGTTGGTTAACCTCCAAACACTGAACAGCTCTTTCATAACTATTATCTGGTGATTAGACAGAAGATCACACCAAAAGAACTGAACAGTTAAAAACAAAACAGCACTGAAAATCTTCACACCTGCCCTAGTGGAGTAAAACAGAAATGTCCAGTATGATTATTCTTAAATTAATCAGTTGATCCAGCTCACAAAATCAAAAAAAGTAGCTTTAGGAACTTTATTTAGGCTTAAAGGTATTAACCTTTAAGTTAATTAGTTAATAAGATTGTGTAGTCAGAGATGATCTATAGTGGTTAGTTTTACAACTAGAGTCTATTTATTTCAGACACCCGTCTCTGGGAGAGGCTCAATCTAGTGCTGGGCA